GTTTGCGGCTAGCCCGTTTGTTTTTTGCAAAGTATTATTTGATGAATCGACAGACGCCTATCGGGTGCACATTTTAAAAATGTTTTTGTAATGTACAGGGTGTCCCAAAAGCCCTAGAAGTATCAAAGTTGTGCTTTTCTAAATGAAATACCCTATATATTATTGCATTTTTGGATTCTCTGAGCAAAACAAGTGTTTGTTTTAATAAGATTTATCATGTCTAAATCTAAAGGTTTTTTTAAATAATCGAATTTTATCAAAATCTAATATTATTTTCATGTGTCAAATACTTGCGAATTATTTAAGTTATGTAAACGTAATTCGTGGTGTAGTGTAACAAGAAATCATATTTTATATTCCAATGATATTAAACTTATCATTTTATTCAGGGTGTCCACAAATTTAAACTAATCAAATAAGAACTTTAAGTAGCTGTAACTTGTTTAATTTAAATACAACTCAATATTTTTTAGCTTACCAGGAAATGCCATTTTTAATTACCTATCGAATGGTACTAGGATGTTGATAACTAAGTTTTTGCCTTTTTACAAAATAACCCAAATAATGGTTCTGTGCACCATTTGGTGTTTTTTTTAATTAAAAGGTTAAATAACATATCAAATATAACATAAAACAAAGGCAAATTATTTATAACAAATGTTCGAAATGTTGATCGTCCTATTCTAGTCACTTGTAAATTCTTTTTTCAAAACCACTGCTAACTCTGGACAACATTTGCGGAGTTACAGTTTTAAAAGCGTCTCTTTTGCGTGTTTTCAGATTGTGTGAAGTTGTCGGAAGCGTATGGTAGACAATTCCTTTTATGTACCCATACAAAAAGAAATCTAGTGGATTTAAGTCCGGAGATCTGGGAGGCCAATTTTCCAACCCATTTCTGCCAATCCACCTGTTTTGAAAGTTGGCATTTCAAAATTCAAATTCAAAAGAGTGAGGCGGAGCTCCATCCAATTGAAGCCACATGTTGGTTCTAATGTTGAAAGGGACTTCTTCTTTCTAATAATATTGAGAGATGGTTTATTAGAAACTGGAGAAATGGAGCATAAACTCGAGAAGCCAATAAACAATTTTTATGATATTCTCCAAGGGTGAAAATCATGTCAATACGCTCTTCTCTTGGATAATTCTTCATTTTAACTTAGCAACACAATAATAATATTAAAATAACGACCAACACGTCTACAATTACAAAAAACAATACCACAATAGCCATCAAAAAGAGACTTTACAGTCTAAACTGAAAAATAAAATAAATGATTTTACATGTGTAAATGGCATAGGCAACTTAGATCCATTGGAGCCTTAAATTAAACAACACCAAATGATGCACAGAACGACTATTTGACGTATTTTGTAAAAAGGCAAAAACTTAGCTATTAACATTCTAATACCATTCGATAGGTAATTAAAAATTACATTTTCTGGTAAGTTAAAAAATATGGGGTTGTATTTAAATTAATCAAGTTAGAGCCACTTAAAGTTCTGATTTCTTTAGTTTAAATTTGTGGACACCCTGTATAACATGGTAAGTTTATTATCATTGGGATATAAAATATTATATCTTGTTACACTTCACTATAAATTAC